CGCTCTTGCTGGCCAGAGGCAAGACCAGGTTGGAGCAGCTGTTCTCTGGCGACTGCGGGAGTTTTTTCCTTTTTTTTTTTTTTTTTTTTTTTTTTCCAGTCTTATTACTAGGCAATAATAGAGAGTGAAGGCTTTTATGTAAAGCAGCTTCAAAGAAGGGGTATTTTCTGGCCTTGGAGGGTAATTCAGAGCCCTCGTGAGGTCTGTGTTCAAGGAGCTCAGCTATTGGAGGAATAAATCCAGCCTAAAAAAGGGGTTTAGTCCAGTCCTAGAAAAATAAGTGCCTGTGGGGAGTGGATAAATTTGTAACTTTGTCATTCAAGTAGACTGGAATATGCACGTCTGCTATCTGCCTACTTGTACAAAAGTCTCGTGAGAACCACCAGCCTACATATTGTAATTATTATCAATAAGATGCATTTAAAACATCAGCCAAGGAAAAATGCCCACTCTAACTACATTACCTGCATTTATTGCTTATTAGTGTTAAAAATACAAACACCTGTTTGCCCCAAATCTAACCAATGTTCAGAAAACAGAATTTTCAGGTTCTGAGGCAGACCAGAATTGAATGCCAGTTATTTGGATGGTTTTACCCCAGTTTAAGTCAAGATTTGAATTATGAAAGTTGAAATTGTTAAAATGTGTATAAACATCTATTTACAGACTTATATTTTCTTTTTCAAATAGCAAAACCTCCAGGATTTTTCTAGTTTTTAAATATATATATATCTGAAGCAGCTTATGAGGATGGAGAAGGTGGTGTTAATTTTAATTCAGACCCTAGATGCCTAAAATATAAATGCTAGAGTGTGAAATTGGAATAAGCAAAACTGTTTTTATATATATGTAATATATATATTATATATTATATATTACAATTATATATACATATTATGTATGCCACATGCTCTAGGTGACCCTGCGTGAGCAGGGGGGTTGGACTCGATGACCTCTGAGGTCCCTTCCAACCTTCGGCATTCTATGATTCTATGATTCTATGATTATAAATTGCAATTGTATGTTTTAAATATATTTATATATATGTAATATATATATATACACACATATGTAGTGCTTAAAAATGTAAAGTTTAAGTATGTAAAAGTTCACTTTTTTTATTTTCTGTATTAAGAAATGTATTGCTTTTTGAACTGACCCAGTAATTCCAAGCAAGGTCATCGCTTCAGGGCGCTCGCGGGAGAGGGGGCTGCTCTCCCCTYCTGCCTGACCTACTTAACGGGCGGCTGACACACAGTGGAGCTCGCCGCCTCCCGGACGCGCGGTCGGGTAAATTAAGTCTCTACGAGTTGTGCACRATCAGGCTGAAAGGTGATAATTGCAGCTGTGTATGCAGTGACTAGATGTCCTAGGAGAAAGTATTTTGTATAGGAGAGAGTATTTTGAATGACTAAGTGGAATAAGGTAAATTAGAACAGTTATATAACCCCGTGTAAGCCTGAAATTAGGTTACTAACATTTGCCCTCGATGCTAAATTTGTCTTCCGACCTGTTGTCTTCACACATCGACCTTTTCTTTGCTTTTATTTCTTTCCTCCCGCTATCAGTCCTGTTATAGGACAAAGGTAGTCAAGGTAATTTTAGAAATGAAGACTCATATGCATAAATATAGCTAGATATGACTAATACTTATGTTCTGATATGACTTGTTGATTTTTTGCTTGTTTGTTGAAGTAGTTGTGCTGAATGTCAATTGGGCTTCCAGTAAAGGACAGAAATCTTGTAAGTACAATTTAAGGACAAAAACTAATTTTTGTGTAGTTWGGGCACGTAACTAAGGGCAGGCCACCAGGAATAGGAGAGGGGGGTGTCAGAGCCGAAGCCACGTGCTGATCGCAGCTGAGGCGCAGCCGCTCGGCCTCCTCAATCAGCGTGGAGGCCCGGTGGGACACGGGACCGCGGAGGCCCAGGAGGACACGAGGCCGCGGAGGCCGGGCRGGACGCGGGGCCTCCGGAGCAGAGGGGCTGGCGGGCCGACCCGTGCCGTGAGGCCGCCAGAGGCGCTGGCTGCCCCCGTCACTGCTGCTTGAGGGCTGCTTTGGCCGTTTATTATCTCTCTATCCGCTAAATGGAAGGCGCTTGGGCCTATTTCCCTTCAGTTGCATGCGTTTAATAYGCTTAAAGTTAGGCCAGCCCTTGCCTTTCCCTGCCCAACTGTGTAGGCTGAACGTCCCGAGTCTTGCGCACTAAGGTTCATTTGTAGGAACTTTCGTGGCTTTTGGCTGTGTAGAAGCCCACTTCGGGTTTCTGGCCATGGTCCCTGGTGCCACACCTGGGCCTGTCACATCGGCTCTCGTATCCCGCTTGAACCTGCTCTTTCCTTGCTAATAACAAAATGCAGTGGTTGTGTTTGCCTCTCCGATTGTGGCAATACGCTGTAAGCGTATGTGTTGTATTGCGGGTGTGGTTTCTGTCTTTAAAGTACTTCACCTTGAATGTAAAGCAGTTTTTGTTGTTGTTGTCCCCWTAGGGGACGTGTTAGGAATAACACTCTTTGTAAGTCTCTCCCACCCTCTCTGCCTCAGGAAACTCCTCAGGTGGATGTGGTTTCAAAGGGGACATTTACTGGATTGCTCTGCCATGGATGTGGGCAGTTGTCCTTCTGCTCCAGCTCTTGTCCTGCAAGGGGTGGTGAGCAGCTCATTCCTGCCTGCTGCTCCCAGGCCACCTGTGATTTTGCAAGCTTGTTGCATCCTCAAATAGTTATTTCTTTTGTGTGCTCAAGGATCCTATTTTACTTGATTGCTGCTCATAGAGAAAGCCATTTGCTTATTCTTGTTGCTTTTCTCAGAACTTTTTCCAATTCTAGTAAATCTTTCTTTGAGATAAGGAGACTAAACCTATCTTATACAATTCAAAATACAGGGCAATCACATGCATATGTAGTGGCTTCATAAACTTCCTCACTGCAACATCTACTCATTCCTCTTTTCTATCTTTTACCCAATTACTTATCCATGCGGGATGTTTTCCTGTTTTGGCAGCTCTCTGAGATCCTTCAAAGCCTTTGACAATGACTTTGAAATCCTTTCAGAAAGCCAAGACGACTGTGTGCCTGAGAACATGCTCATGTTTTTGCTTGTTGGCTGCTTTGCAGGAATCTAATGGGTTTGAAATCAATGGGGTTTATTTCAAAAGCAATATGAACCTCTTGTGGAGAAGACTCATCCACTGATTATTTATTATAGCTTCTGTGATTTACCAGAAGATAAGACACCATATTTTCCATGCCCTAGTTCCTGAATTATGTAGTTTGGTGGATGCCAGAGATTACATACTGCTATTAGCAGGTCAGGAACTTAATTCCTGAGTTTCTTTTGGTCTCTGGGATGTCATGACACTGTTCTGTGATTTGTTCCTAAATCTACAGCTTCAGATTTGGCCATATTAAAGCATAGATTTTTTTTTTTCTTTTCCTTAGTTGACCCCTTGTCCAGACATCATTTGAATTATTCTTCAGCCTCCCCCATCTTTTTTTTTTTTGCAAGTCTGATCAGTGCTGAGTTTGTTTTATTTTGGGTCACTGATATAAAGGCGGAATAATGTAGGACCAAGAGTGATGTGTGCTGGGCCTTTCAGGAGTGTATGGGCTGGAGAACAGCGGTTCGTGGTTTAGCGCTTTGGCAGCTAATCAGTCTTTAATCCACTTAATATATGTTGTGTTTTTGCAGTGCTTGGATACTGAGATCAAAACAGCGTGTAACGTCCAATGGCGGTGCTCAGAGCTATCTAAGCACATCGCTGCCAGCACCGTTACCTCGTCAGCAAAGCGTGCGGCCCCCTCAGATGACATTTGTGAAGTTAATGTGCCCAGGCCTTTTTGTTTGTTGCTGCTCTTACTCTATACGCGGTGCCGTGGGGCCCGGTGACACCTGCCTCGGGACCCGCGGCGGCGGGCGTCGCGCGGCGCTCGGGCTGGCGCTCCAGCGGCTCAGCTCTCTGCTGCTCGGCCGCGCAGGAAGGGCAGGTTAGGTCACCCGCGCGCGGAGGCCGTGGCCGCACGCAGGGTTAGGTACCAGCAGCCCGGCCCCAGACCAGCACGTCCACACACCTCCTTGTGTATCGCGCCGGGCGTCCTTCTGTGCCTGGCACCGCTGGGTGGTTTAGCAGCAGCTCCACGTGTATCGTTTGCAAGAGCTCTGCCCCTTCCATTTCTTCTTTCTTCTTTCAAGAAAGGTTCACTATCCATTTCTGGGCTCACAGAGTTACTGGTTTATCCTGTCGGTCGCTGTGGCCAAGTCACTGTCAAGAACAGCTCTGTGGCAGCTTCTCGATCTGGGCAGTTCTCCCGAGGTATCCCAACGGAGACTCGGTTGGGAGTCATGTCAAAATCTGCCGCTGCCTTTTTTGAGGATATTTTTATAGTTAATTCCCTTTGAAAAGGGCCGGTAGATTTGCCGTTAATTGTAGAAGATCAAATTATGTCAAATTATGTTATTCGTAGAAATGTAATACTGTATTTATTTAAAAGTGGAAAATCGTTCATTTTAAAAGGCATGTGAATATATTTGTGAACATAAGATTAATAAGTATCAACTGAAAAAATAACTTCTGTATGTGTTGGAAGTTCATAATGTAACGTTCATCACAGCAGCAAWAATGGCAGTATGAGGAGAAATGAGAATTCCAGGCTTGCTCTTACTTGAGTRAGGTGGGTGTTTTGTTTGCCTGTGTGGAGTGCTGTGCATTGCAGCGCTGCTAAATGCCTTTAATGCCTGCTAAATCTCTAACTATACATGACTTCTTCTGGTCATCTTAATCATTCAGGTTTGACCACCCAAGCATGGATTTGCAGTTCAGCTTCCAACAGATACTTGTTTGAAACTTGCAAACTTAAATGCAAAAGGTTTTACTTTTTTGTTTTGTTTTCCTTCTTAAGAAATTTTAGGAATAAATGTGGCACTTATTTAGAATCTCCTACTAATAAGTGTAAGTCTGTGTGTATTCATGATAAGTATTGCACTTTCTTTTTTCAACAGGGAGATTGCAGCTATGAACGGGAGATTCGGCCTTACTTATGCATTGAAGATRTTAATGTCCGAAGGAATGGAAACCCTTTTTGCAAGCCCAGCTCCGCATCTGATCTGAAAGCACAATCAGCTAGAAAAACCCTGGTTCACAGGTCAAAAACAAAAGCACTTTTGCCTTACAYAAATGATACTGAGAATGAATTCATTTCCGATTTTAAAATAACAAACACAAAGACACTCAGAACTTTGGGTGTAAATTTGGAAGTGCCTGTGGTGCCTACAGAACCTTGTGCTTTAGATTCTTTCACAGCAAGAGGACTGGCGCTGGATGAAAACACTGACCAGGGCAGCCAGGAAGATGATGAAATAGAGAAGGTGACATTTGACTTAAATGAATTTTCTGACTTATGTGACAGCTGTGAAAGTGCTGTAAATCATGAAAATGTCCTGGTAAAGGAAGGTAAATCTGTAGATAAAGCTTCCAGCTCGCTGGGCGCCAACCATGCAGATTCSGGTTATGGTAGCTTTACAGTTGAGAAGTCACTTGTTTCTTCTGACTTATTTTATCTTCCCGAATCACATTCATCTGCACCTGTGACATCATCTGAGGAATCTGCTTGGTTAAAAGGTGTATTTTCCAATGTGCAAAGGCTTTTATCACAATCTCCTCCCCCTTTGAATAAGCTTGATGATTTTGAAAGCTCCATGGGAAGCGAAGAAGCAGCGATTTGTCCTTTTCAAAATGCTGGTCCCAGCAGTTCCCCAGACAGACTGCAGGACAGGGTCTTCCCTGCTTCTTCTGAAGCTGATCGTTCGCCACGGCCGTTGGAAAATCCTCCTGTGTTGAGAGTCACCCGTGAGCTGGACGTCTCTGTGAACGGCTGTCCTACAAAGACTGTGTTACCTTCTGAGGCCGCTGCTGCTACAGCCGAAGAGGAGCTTCACTGGAGTGACAGCTTTGATACTGTGTTTGACAGCGAGGAACTCACAGAAATTACAGAAATACCTAAAAAAACACTAACAATAAATCACACTCCAGCAAATAATCCATCAAAAGGATGCTGCATTCAGGAAGACAGAGAAGATCTTCCAATTAATGAGACAAAAGTAGTTACTAATGAAGAGAAGAGCATACATTTATTTGAAGATGAACACATCTATGATGCAGGTGATGATGTTTCTGCTGCACATGCAGAGCACTTGGTCCTGTCACACGCGGGGGAGGCTGCGCCTYGGCCAGCATCAGGGGAAGGCTCCGAGTGCTGCTCGGATGCCCTCGGCACCAGAGAGCCACCAGAGAGCCGTAAAATCCGAGCCGCGGAGGTGACAGAGCATGAGGAGGTGACAGAGCAATTCCCAGATGATGATGATGATCTGGGTGACTGTTCCCAAGAACTGTTTTCTGTTACCTTTGATCTGGGCTTTTCTATTGAAGAGTGCGAGAATGAAATCCTAGAAGAAGAAGAAGATGCAAATGCTAATAATGTCCAAAAAGCAACTGGTGGCAACTATGCAGRTGTTAAATCTGCTGAAGAGAAACTACTGAATGATACCTCCAGGCTTCAAACACCGCCCAAATGGGACTGTGAAAGTCTGGAGAGAGCAGACAGCTTCACACCGTTGCGGTCGCCGAGTTGGAGGGCAAAGCACGTGGAAATGCTGGGGGATGCAACGGTGGCTGCTTGGAAGCCAGGAGACAGGATAGGAAGGGGCTCGCCTGGAGCTTTGGCTGCTTCACTGCCTGCCCCAGCAGGAAGAAAGCTTCTGGCTGTTGAAGGTATCCAAAGAATTTCCCTGAATGTTTGCTGTAGTGTCAGGCAGGAGATTCAAGAGATTCCACTTACCGAAAAGGTAAATACGAGCCTGCTTAGAAAGACTCTCACTTTGAGAGTTCAGTCTTGGATACACTTGATTTTCCCTCGGGAAGAATTGAAATGCAAGAAGATGCAAACCTGCATATTTCACATGCACTTCCCATTGAAGGTAGGGGTTTCAGTGGTGAGCTTAGTTGCTTTGTGCTTAAATAAGAATGGAGAATCCAGTATCTCTTGAATCTTTGGTTATGTTCTGACCAGTTTGGAAGGAGGTTCCATACAACCGCTATAATGGTTATAGTACCAAAAACTGGCTCAATGAGGAGACTTTCCAGAAACATAACATCTTCTAACACATCCCATGTRCTAGCTAGCCACTTGGGGTTGGAATGCATATATACATATTTGCATTATTGCTCTACACATATATACGCATTAGGTAGAGTACGCAGAGTTCTGTGAAATCTCTTTGCAAGTGCTACTGCTGCCGGCAGGTGTGAGCTGTACCGTTGTGTGCCCTGTGGCTGCCTTTCCAACCCCTTCTCAACCCTCGCGGATCTTACTCGCATCGCCCCGCTCTGTTGTACTGCAGACACTAGTGCATCCCTTCCCATTTCCCTTCCTAGGAAAGRGCCTTCTGAGCTTTCCTGAATGGTTGCATTATTGTCCTTAAACACTGAAATAAAGCACAARTAACCTGTTTGGTGGTTAAGCACCTTTTTTTGATTATCTCTGCATTTGTCTGCTGGTCTCTAGATTTCCTGAATACTCCCATTTGCCCAAAGCCACAACCTTTCCTAAATCCTTGCACTGTCAAACACCTGCCTCATATAGGTGAGGCACTCCGTGTATCAAACAATACATATAGGTATTGTTAAATAGAAAAAAAATCATAAATGCTGCAATGTATTTAATAAAACAGCCCGAACCGGTGCCATGGGCTGGTGTGGGCCATCAGGCTGGCTGGTGTCTGAGCCCTCCCGCATGGAGCCCAGCGAACGCCGGCGGGACCGGAGCCCGCGCAGCCCCAGGCGAGGGCTCTCTGCCTCGCAGTGCAGCCGCTGTCATGGGCAGGGCCCCTCCGCTTCAGTCCCTGGCCGAGCTTTTCCATGAAGAGATTCACCCGGGYGAGTGCCAGAGCCGCAGGGGAGCCCCCCGCCGTGCCACCAGGCTTGCAGCTCTTAGCCCCCTTCGAGGAGCTCCTGCCCTTTCCTGGCATTTTTCACCTTCCCTTTGCTTTAGCCRTCCTGCCTGTGGTCATCACTCGGAAAGTCCCCGGGCAAACAGGATTTATCCTGCCTCTCAGCTGGAACTTGTTTATTGTGGTTAACAAGGCTGACGAGAACAGTGTTGACCACCCAGATCAATAAGCAATCTGTCTTGTGGGTGCTTTTGTTAAGAGGCGCGTTTTGTAAGAGGTGGTTGGCTATAGCAGCATTGTGTGGTGAACAATACCTTTTCTTACACATGCTGTGTGCTATTTTTCTGTAGGAACAAGCAGTGAAAGTGAAGAAGAGGTTGTTATCCGTGTCAAAAATAGGAAAAAAGAAAATGTTTTGAAGTCCCCTGATGTGAGTCTTACTGCGGGGAGGGGGGGACAAGAGAAGCAAAGGCGGTGAGAAAGCCCAAACATAGAAGCACAAGTCCTCACTGCAATTATACTCTTTTCTGTTGACATAGGTTATGAATGTCAGCAATTTTGAATCACCGGTTCATGCCATCARGAAACGTAGACACCCGCTGAACACGGTTAGTGTGCGCTTTGGGGTGGTGGAGGAAAATAGCACAGGCTTGTTTAGGGGTTATATTTTTAAACATATAATCTTCCTCCAATCAGTAGGCAAGCATTCCTACTAAAAAGATTTTGTGCTATCTGAATGTAATCTCTTCCTTCCTTCAGTTCTTTCCCAAGTTCTCCTAAGATTAATTTGTACTTGTTTGGCAGTGAATTGTTGCTGTAGACATAAGAGCTGAGCCTTTGTGAGAGGCACTAAAATAGCCTTTCTTCCAGCAAGCTTTGAGTCAACAAATTGTTCAYGTCACATTTAACCTGATTTTTATTCCCCAAAACACATTTTCTTGTTCTTTTCTAAAGAGCTGCTACTCTTCAATTTAATAGAATGGTTAGCATTATTGTTTTGTTTTGTACGTTCAAGCTTGAAAAATCAGACATTGATGAAAAAAAGTAGGTTGAAGGATATCTGTGTAATTATAATACTTTGCTTGCTTTAGCCTTGCTTATTAAAGTGCCTGTGGCATGTTCCCCTAGTCAGATGTGTCCAGCGATGACAGCATGGATTTTCACAAGAACCCCAGGAGGACCCTGGAGAGCAGCACAGCASCCTGCAGGGAGAAACAGCTAAGGAGTGCGAAACGGCAAAAGGTCAAGAGCAACTTCACACGCAAGGTAGGGGCTTACGTGCCCTTTGAACACTTCAAAGGGCAAATTTGGAGCTGATTGCACTGGAGTTGTAAACTAGATAACTGAAATGCTTTGTCGGAGCTCTACGTGTGGAAGTATAGAGGTTTGCCATGCTTCAGAGAAGAACCAAAACTAGAATTGGTGTCATTCTACTTTGTGTCCAAACTGCAAGAGTAAACTCAAAATATTTTCTTATTTGTCTAAACATAAAACCTCATAAAAAGCCAAAAAATCTCAACACTGATTTCACACCCTTAGGACAAAAACTTACTGTGTCACAGAGTCATTCTGGTGCCTGTGTGTGTATATATCTATTTTTATGGCATTATGTAGAATCTTAAAGTCCAGTGTGGTATTACAGTAGACATGCAGTTGGGCAGCAGTTCACTTTTAGCTCCACACTGGAGATGAGATGAAACCTGGGAGCACTGGATAATAATTTTAACTGTCACTTCCATTGCCTGACTTTCAGAGAAGWCCCCAGGTCCCCCCGTTCTGATGCCATAGAAAAAAAAAAGATTTTACACTGCAAGTAGGGAGATATCCAAAGGTTAGTTAGATTTGAGAAATGTAGGTTCTTTGCCAGAACTCACGCTACTAGGACACTTGAGATATGAATATATTACCTACTAATGGTTTCAGCTTGGGACTTTTTAAGAGAGTAGATGCTTCCCTCCAACCAAAGCTTAAGTCTTGGCTCAGTATTTTGTACTTTAGTCTGTCAGTGCATCAGGAACTTGCCAGAATGCAGAACTAGGAGTGTATATTGTGTCATACATAGGAATATGTATATAAAATTTTTAGTATATATACTCATAATAAGTTGAAGAGCTCTTGGATAGGCATGCACCTGCATTCCTCTAGGAGGAGATTACAGTAATTGAGACTACGAGGCACACTACATGTTTTTAATGCTTGATTCAACACACACAGAAAAGTAGCTCGTGGTTCCTAGCCTGAACAGTGCCTTTCAGGAGCACACATCTAGGCAGTAGGATCATCTCCATTATGGAGACTTCCCTGTAGTGCCAGTACTTTCTGTCCTGGAGTGCAAAGGAAAAAGGAGGCATAAGATCTGTTTTCAATTTTATTTAAACTTTTTTTTCAAACCCAAATTTCATAGAGAGGAGTGTGTTATATTTGTTCATATGAAATTTCCCTTTGCCTTCTCAGCCGAAACCCTGTGTGGGTGAACGTGTCAGTGCGGATCCTCAGCAGATCCAGGACACAAAGCCGCTGTGCTGGCCCCGCTGCCGTGCTGGTGTCTGCACAGCTGTAGCGTGGCACTCATCTGTGACCGGATCAGCTGAGCTTGGGCACAGCCCGGCAGGACCAGGACAGCCCCCTCGCTGAGTGGCATTCAACAGATCATTTAAGAACTAGTAGCACTTTATTTCCTGTGTGTGACCAGACTCTGGGCTATTASTTTCTGCTGTCATAGTGTGTTGCTGCAGAGTTTGTCCTCTCTGTAGTCTTCCACAGATGAGAAGGATTAAGGGTAATTGGCAAAAGCACTGTGTGYTCTTTCCTGCAGGCAGGTAAAGAAGGTTTGTGTATTTGAAAATARTCAGAACTCCTTGAGCGCAGGGACTGTTGCTAATGCCTGCCAGTCTGACTGAGCACTGTGAGCAAGTAAGTTCGAGGGGACAAGGCTTGGAAAAGTCTGGATAATCTGAAATGTCGCTTATTATGTGCAAAAGATGTCTCACTTTTCCTTGTGATAAAGTAAAAAGTATGTTATATTCCAACCATCCTGAGGGAAAACAAATCATTCTTTTGGAGGAATTGAGATACATAATGATAATTCTTTTTCTTTCCACATATTTTACTTCCATGCTTTATAGCTGAAATTRTAAGGGAATATAGCTTAGCGTAAGTATCTCTGAGAAGGCCTCTTTCTGTTTTGTTTCTCTGGACATCCTTTGGAGGTTCTGTTGCTGATGGAGCTGCAAGGTTTGTATCATGTCTCCTTTACTGAGGCTCCTGTGTGAAGTGTTGCAATTTCAGTGAAAGAAGAGAATTTCCTCAGTATTTAGTTGTGTTTGATGAAATAAACCTAAGTCCTAAATAGAAGAGGGCAAACTGATTTGATGTTTGCATCTGAATTTTCTGGGGGACTGAAGTTCAGAGTAATCCAGGCTAATTTGTACTGCCCTTTTTTCATTTTTTGTAAGTAATTCCAAACTAAAATGAGTAAAAATAGATTTATAAAAAGTATATTGTTGGGCAGCTTTGTTGCCATGTGTCAGTAAACTTGGTACGTCTTGACTAGTGTAGATGCAATGCAAGCAGTGTTGTGGTCCAGGTGACCCTGCGTGTGCAGGGGGTTGGACTAGATGATCTCTAAAGGTCCCTTCCAAACTTAGGAGTCTCTGACTCTATCCTCGCCCTATACCTTTGGCTAGTGTTTGTGAATTGGCTCCAGCTTCACCTTTCTGTTGTGGTGGGACTGATCTTTGGGCTCTTTCATGTATTTCACTGAACCCTGTGTTCTTTGCATCGTTTCCCTTGTGCTGGATTCTGTTTCCTAACACGTCCGGTCACCACTTATCTCCTGAAGTCCTGAACTGATGTGTTGAGGATCTCACGTGCAACGTTAATTAATTGGGAGCCAGCTTCTCTAACTTAAAATGTTTATATTTTCTTCTTTTTTTTTTAGGATGCGGCAAGGCAGTTTTTGGAGGAAGAAGCTGAGCTTTCCCAGCAAGATGTGGATTGTGTCTCATCTGATGAGAGTGATGATTCGGAGAATGAGCTGGACTCTTCACTCGCCCAGTTTCTCAATGATGATTCAGAGTTCACCCAAGTGTTAAATGGTGAATGAAGAAGAATTTTGATGGTTTTAAGATAAGAGGTATCAGTAGAGTGGTGCACAGCAGGCAGGGTCATTCCATCAGTTACTGCACATGTCAGTTTATAAGCAGTAAGTTCTTCGGCTGTGGTAAATCAAGCCTTTCCATTCTTTACTTGTACCTTCTCCATTYGTATTCCCATGAGTTTCACCTCCCTGAAAGCCTCTGGGGTGCAGTAGCTGTGTGCAGGCTTGGATGGGCTCCTCAGGGAGTGTGGAGGTTGGGAGATCACCCTTTGTTGAGGACCAGCTCACTGCCATGTGCTCCAATATAACAGCCCAGAACCAGCTTTCCATTGCACTTAGAAGTGTCTGAAAATTTCAGGTCTTTGGTAGAGAGAGATCTGAAATATGATATGAAATAAAGGTCTGAAATGTCGAGATAAAATTACAGTGCTGCCACTGTCAGAGATGGAAGCCATGCTTTTATTTGGGGTAGAGGTGAGCTGCATTAATGAACCTTGTCTTTCCCTTATTTTTTTGCATAATGGAAAATACAAAAATTCTTACTCCCATTAAAGACTTCCCAGAMATTTTTACTGAAGATTTTCCTCCTTCACTGAGAGCTGTTCCTTCTAAGAGCTTGTGTGTGCAAGCCCACCCCCTTATCCTAGCTCCTGGAGCAGGTTGCCCCTCCATTTCAGGAGGGGTTTGCAGCATGGCAGAGGGAGGTCCTGGGGCTGACATGCAGATGCCCGAGCTCTTTCCTCTGCTACGAGCAGCCTGGGCTGGCTGCTGAAAAATCTTGTTTAGGGCAGCCCTTGATGAAGGCGTCTGGGGAGGCCAGTCCTTTGTCTTGCTGGGATCTTTAGAGGGGTCTAGAGAATTTTTTTTTTTTTTTTTTTTTTTTTTTTTTTTTTTTTTTTTTTTTTTTTTTTTTTTGTGAAATACAGATTTTTGGGGAGCTTATCCTGAAATTGTTTATTATAGAAAACATAATGTAACAATAATGAAAAATATATATATGTAAATACTTTCTTCTTTTCTCTTTTCTTTCTTTTAATTCAGACTCTGAGATGAAAGGCATTTACTTGGAGTCGGTGCGTAGTCCGGCTCTTGGCAATAGATACAAAATGGTTCACCGGGGATTCAACAGCAGGGCCATTTTCTCACAGGTATGAAATAAAATGACTGCCAGAGGTTGTGGAGTCTGCTCCTTTGGAGATCTTTAAAACCGGCTTGGATGCAGCCTGTGTCCCGTGCTCTGGGTGACCCTGCGTGASCAGGGGGCTGGACTAGATGACCTCTGARGTCCCTTCCAGCCTTAAGCATTCTATGATTCTCCTCTCATGGAGACTAAGCCTGGTAGATAATTGATAAAATTGGAAAAACGGATGCTCYGAATGGTTTGTCAGTCCCCTGTCTCCCAGCAAGGTCTCTTTCTGTATCCTGCATATATAAAAATATATAAATAAAATATTCTATATCACCTTCAGCACTACAAAATGGAGGTCTGTGTTTGATGAAAAGACTAAACTGTTTCATGACCATCTGCGCTCTGTGGTACCTGTGCACAGGATGCCCTGGGGAAGTAAAGCACAAAGCAAGAGCAAGGCTAATAAAGTTTCAAAATTTGCTGTTTGTCATTTCCCCCCTCCAGATTCCTGAGCAAGATGAGGCTTATGCAGAAGACAGTTTCTGTGTTGGAGAAGAGCAAGAGGAAATTTGCCACAAAAGTGGATCGAGCGAGGAGGAAGTGTGTGTTGATTTTGATCTCCTAATCGGTGAGAGCTTGAATAAGGGAAGAAAACAGTACCTCACTCGCCGTAGGAAAAAGCTGAACCAGGCCAAGATGGGAGAGGGCTCGGCCAGCCCTGCGCCCAGGAAGAAACCTTCCCGAATTATYGTCCTGGATGACTCCAGCGGGGAAGAAACGAGTGTCCATGAGGAGAAGCCCATGGGAAGGGGCTGCTGCAGGACAGAACAGGGAGAGGCTCAGTTACCCAGACCGTTGCCTTCGATCCCTTCAGCACAGCACAAAGACATTGCTGGAGAAGTTCGTGCTTGGCAGCTCCAGGAGAATAAGAGTCAGGCCCTTCTTAGCCTGAAGGCTTCGGTGTCTGAAACGCTTGATTTTCACCCAGAAAGTAGAGTCCAGAGCGGACGTTCCTCATCAGCTGCCACTAATTGTGATTCCAGGAAAGAGGATTTTGGTGCTGCTGAGGTTGGTGTTAGTTTGAAGCACAGGCCTCGGTCTCGCTAACGTAGCGTGGGGCGGCTCGTCCTTAGCAGGTGTTGCTGTGGGGGCTGCAGAAACGCGCAGCGGCCGTGGACGGGGCTCTGCCCCACAGCGCCGACTCTCCCTGCCTTTCTCGCTTCACGGCGCTGCCTTTTCCCTTGATGTAGGAGACTTTTGTACTTGCAGCAGAGCTGCAGGTTGTCTTACCCATCAATGAATGAGCACTGAGGATTAATGTTGCTGTCAGCTGGCCGGCCGTGGAGCAATATGGGTTGGTTTCCCATAGCCCAGAGGTTCCAGCAACCTGGGGTCGGGATTATTTTGCGTTTGTAGTTATAAAATACTTCTTCACTGTCCTAAATTAAAAACCTGCATAGTCTGAAGAGGTGCGAGTCCTGAACGTCTGTACATGTTTTTCTGTCTGTCTGCTTACAGAATTCAACTGCTTGTTGAATTTGTTATTGTTAGTGAATGCTGCAAACGTCTGTGATTTAAGCCACTGAATAGTTAGATGTTCAACTAATTTGGGAGATTTATTTATGTGGCATGTCGTTCTTTGGCTTTATGCTTCTGTGTTCCCTTAGAAATGCCGTGTTTCTGCACATTTGCAGGTGGAAAGTTCCTTGCAGAGCACCCGGACGAACCCCTCGGCTGCGGCTGCGTCCTGCGCTGCTGCTGGGAAGCCCTCAGGGACTCGCGCGAGCCTGGAGCCAAGAGCTCCCCTCTGCGTCCTGGCAGACAGTCGCGAGGTCTGCTCGGGCCCCGACGTCATCTCTGCCCTGAAGGCAGCGCACGGCGTCAGGGTGCACGTTTGCTCCCTGAGCAGCAGCGACTACGTGGTGAGCAACCGCATGGCGGTGGAGAGGAGATTTCAGTCGGAATTGCTGAACTCTGCCAACAGGACTAAGGTTATCCAGAGGATCCAGCGCCTGCAAAGCATCTTTGAGAGGATATGCGTGATTGTGGAGAAGGACAGGGTGAAAACAGGTGGGTGTRCCCTGGGAGGGCCAGGCCAGCTCCRTGCAGAACACAGGTCTGAAGCCAGATGTGTTTAAAGGCTTGGTTTCCACCTCCATAGAAGCCTGGCATTGATAATGTCACAGGTTAAACATTAAAGTTTGCTTTGTGTTGAGGATACTTGGTATACCCTGAGACCCACAACTTCTTRAAGAGGACTTCTCTACTGGAGCAAGGGAAAGCAGGGTAACCGTGTTATGGCCACTAAGTTAATATGCCAAAAAAATCATCTTCAGTATAAGGAGGGTGTTGCCGACGGGGGTCGGCAAGCCTCATTCGCTAGCTGGACTGACCTGGGGTTGTCCTCACCCCAGGGCCCTGGAGCACAGTTATCACTATGGGGGATGCGGCAAAAKGGCGATTATTGCGCAGTTCAGTCTGCCTATATACTCCAGCTGAATGCGGAAACTCACCTACTGCCCAGTCGGGAGACTAATTTCTACTTTTCGCCTTGTATGGCATGGGGTTATCAGTAAACTGCATAAATTAATTATGCTCCTAACTCCTGTGACATCGCGAGATCTTCCGAGCGCCATGMCCTAGGCTCTATGCCCTATACTATACTATATCATCTACTTTCRCTAAGCTCTCTAACTTATTAAGCCCTAAAAACACAAAAACGCCTACAGGAGGGCAAGAATGATGCAGGGAGGAAAGTGCTTGCACTGAAGTAGAAGTTGACTCAGGAAAAAGTAAGTGCTCTCTGTCAGATTGCACAGGAAAGTTCTCTCCCCTGTAGAACCAAAGGGAACAGTAGCACTTGAGCAGGTCATGCTATGTGTTAAATCTACCTTCAAAAGGTATTAAAAAAGGAAGAGTAAGGATTAAAACATATAATAGCTTGTAACTCAATAATTGGCAGATAATCAGCTGAATATAATCAATTTTTTAGAAAAAGACAAAAGCGTCTTTGTACAAAGAGTGACTTTGGGAAATCTCTGTTTGAGCGATTGCCTCATGTCAGCAAGTCAGCAAGTGCAGAAGAGATTCTTAGATATGCCTTGATAATCCCACCTGGGAAATCTGGGCTATTTCTTAAATTAATTCATACAGTCTGGACTAGTCCTTTGCTTTAATTGCATTATGTAGTCAAGTGATTTCCCTAATGGTGCCTATTCCCAGTGCCATCTAGAAAATTAAGTAATTTAAAGAAGTCTTGCTCCTGCTTTAAACGAAATGAAACTCGAGCTCCCAGCTTCAGATAAACTACAGACATTTGGGGATACAAAACACTGCTACTGAAATAGTTATTGTGGATGTAGCTTTGCTTTTGTGACCTAAATGTAGTATCTGTGCTAGTCCAACCAGGGGCCTAGGGCTGGAGCTGGTCACTGAAGACACWGACTGGCCCAAGGACGCTCCCCTGCCCTTGCTTCCTTGGTGCTGCCTTTCTGCCACCATTGAAGCCACCGTTCAAGTGCTTTCTTCTTATGCTTGTGGCTTTACAAACCCTCTCTAGTCTGTCCTGGTTMTTCATTGTTTATCACGTTCAGTTTATTCACCGTAATTTAGAGTTTACAGCTAAGTTTCACTGAATTTTTCTGTTGTAACTCTCAGGAGAAACATCAAGATTTTTGCAGCGGACGCAGCACTACGACGGGATACTCTCCGCCCTGGTCCAGGCCGGGATCCGAATCCTTTTCAGCTCCTGCCAAGAGGAAACTGCCGCTTTGCTGAAAGAGCTGGCCTTGGTGGAGCAGCGGAAGAAYGCAGCCATTGATGTGCCGGCCGACGTGCAGGGCCACAGGCAGGAGATGCTCAACTTCTACTTGACTATCCCTAACATCAGCTACTTGGCCGCACTCAACTTGTGCCACTCCTTTCACTCCATGAGGAAGATGGCCAACAGGTAACAGGGAGGTGAACGGCACGTGCTGGGAGGCTCTCGCTCCTCCCAGCAGTGAATTTGTGCCGATGGAGGTTGTAGCCTCTCCTCCTTCTCATGTCTCTAAATTCACCCTGGCCCTCAGGCTTGCAGTGTGTCACAGACCAGGCCTTTGTGGCTGTTGTGTGGAAATGATGGGGGAAAACAGTGATAGCTGCTTGGAGAGGCTGCCACCTTCTCCCTAATCTGTCCCTACTTCAGTAGTTGTTCTGGGCTTGGAGGAGGTGCTTGGTCCTCCGCCRGGGCTGGGACTATCCCTGGGCCTATCCCTGCTTGGGAAGCAGTCCTGGTGCTGACCAGYGTGGGCGGGTTGAAACCTCCTGCCTTCTTCCCTGGGCCACCCTGGAGCTTCTGCTGTCCCGCAGGGGCGSAGGATTGCCCTGGGATGCCACTTTTGTGCCTCRCTGCAGCTCCCCACAGCTCTGCTGTCCCCACCTTTGCCCTGTCTTCTCTGTCTTTCTCAGCCTCCTCTTCTGCTAGCACGTGCAGCTTGTTCCTSCCGCTGTGCCGCTCTCCTGCTTAGCCTGGTGCAGCCCCATGCCTGAGCCCTGTGGTTGCTGTGCGGCTGCAGCTCTGGCTCTGGACCCTGCTCCCCGGCAGGGAAGGGCCCGCCCGGCTCCGAGCAGGGGGTACAAGGGGGTCTCCTTGTGTTTGCAGCTCCCCGCAGGACGTTGCCGCCGCGGCCCGTGTGAGCCAGCAGAAAGGGGAGGAGATCGTCCGCTACCTCCGCTACGCCTTTGACGAGCAGATGCTGCCCCAAGCCCTCCGCCCCAAAGCCAAGAGCTGAGGGCCCCGGCCTCCAGCCTGGGGCTGTTTTCTTTTAGCTGCACTTTATACAGTTTTGATTCTCTGTAAAATATGTAAATAAAGCCCTGCGGAGGGAGCAGGGCAGCACCTGGGCCCACGTGTGGTTCCTCTCGCTGTGCACGGCCTTATCCCTGCAGCAGCTCCCGCTGCCCCGTGCAGACACCTGGCCCTGGCTGGGCTGCGACAGCGGGAGCAGGTGAGTGTGGAGGGGACAGAACAGGAGCTGCTGGCCCCAGGGCAGCAGCGCCAGCGCCCCGGCCCGGCTGCGCCRAGGCTTGGTGGCCTCTCTGCAGCTCTGTGCTGCCCAGAACAGGACAGTGTCCCTCCTGTCCCTGCMGGCCAGCGCAGAGCCGGGAGGCAGGAAGGGGAGGCCCTGAGCTGGGGCAGCCAAGGGCCAGGCGGCACCAGCAGCACCACTGCAGGAGCTGCTGCTAGGGCTGGCCCACGCAGTGCTGCTCTCAGGGGGCACTCGGGGCTCTCCACGGCTTCTTCTCACTTAGCTCCTTTTTCCTGTCTAGGTAGTGAAGCAGCCCTTGCTCTAACYGGCAGTTCAAAGGGTCAGAAGGGTCTGAAATCCATTTGTTGGGGACAGAGCAAGGGAGAAAGCAGCCCCTATGTTTGCAGCGACCTTAAGAGCTCAGACTGGTCCTGGGCTACAAGGCCCCGCACCTCTTGCCCATGACTGAGCTTTGTCTCACAGCAGCCTCATCAAGCTGTAGTGCCCAAGGCTCACTTAGCCCCAGAGCTGGTGGCAAGTTCAAAACATAGAAGATGACAGGCTGGAGTCATTGGCCCCACAGAAAGATGACATTTGTTTTTGTTTCTTTTCCCCATCTCCCCCCTTTAATTAACATTTGCACAAAGCTTTTTCTCCCACGTATGGGACAGTAGTTCCTGTAATTTTAAGAGTAAAATACTTTTAAGGTATTGTTTAAGGTGGAAGGCTTAAGAGATTTGTTTCTCTATTTCTTCACAAAGCTGTTGTCAGATACTTAGTACCTTTTTATTACATTAAGGAGATGTAGCTCGCACTAGAGGAAAATAAAAAGCAAGCCCCAATTGTTACAGACTGTACAGCAGTATTTCTAAAAGTTTTTTCGAACTTTAAAATGAAACAACCCCCAACTTTGCCACTTACTGGCAGAGGGATACACATTTTCTTCTTGCCCCTTTCCCCAGGAAATACTGAGCATAGGAAAGGAGGAGCCAAGGAAAGACAGTGCCACTCTGTACACACGAAAAGCCACAACCATCACTGATAAGGCARCAAGACAAGAAAGTAAGTATTTTAACACCATAATAATTAATTATGCAGRCCAAGATTTCCAAACTGAACTAACTAAAGAAGACCACAAGAAAACCAGGTCAGGGCTGGCTGAAGGCCTTCAATTTAACTGTGTTATAGAAGAGATAGTATAGAGCTGTTCACCTATTAAAATCCAGGAAATTAATTATGCAGAAAAATAAGAATCTTCTTCCTCTTCTGATGATGAACCTGCTGCCTTGGGTACAAAGAGCTGCCCTATAACCGAAGTCTGCTGTGTGTCTGCAAAAAGAAACAGTGGGGACGGTGTTAGTGGCTATAGTTTAATGCCCTTGTGTTTATTAAAAAAAAGTTATAGAAATTCCAAAAGCAAAAATGCTAAAGCAAGCCCAAGAGTGATACAAAATTTAAGATTGTGTCTGGTTTAAGATTTGTCTGGTTGCAGACACCCCCAAATCAATGGCAGAACGAGAAGTCTAAGGGGGAGGRGGTGGCTGGGGAATAAATCAATAAATAAAGGGGTGAATAAGCAAGAACCGGAGCCAGGAAACACGTGCTTACTTTTATCAAAAGTGAACTTGGTGGTTCTGCGTGAAGCTGGTGTAGCAAATACRGCTCCTGCCTGAGGAAAGGGAAAGGAGGGCTGTTAAACAGCTGCAACAGCGTCAACACTGGCTGAATGTCAAAACAGCACGGCAGGAGGAGGCAGCAACAGGCAAAGACTCCTTATTGCAACAGAAAGTGTCCTGCTGCTCTACTGCATTCTCAGTGAACATAGAAACTGTTTTACTAACTTTTTTTTTTTTTWAACGGAACTAAAACTACAGGCCAATTTTCTTACTTCTAGAACTTAGCTTTTTGCAGAAAAAACTTTTATATAACTASTTTTATACTTAATCATATCTGCAATTAACTCATCTAACAAGCTTCTTCTCCAAGATATGTAGGTTTTGGGGTGTCTGTGGGGGTAGGGAAGGTTATTTCTTTCTTCAGTACAGATGTTAGCCCAATGCCTTTTGCCCCTTGTTCAGCAACCCTTTGCACTGCTGCAGAAAGAACTAGCCAAAGATCAAGAAAATGACGTTACCGATTTCTTCCTAACGTTGTCCCAGGTGCTTTTCTTGCCGTATGTGTTCTGCATTCTGAACACGTGCCTGTCATAGTCGTTCCTGCAGACAGAAACACGGTGTTTGGCATGACCAGAGTGCCTGGGTGAGAGAAGCTGCTGGATAAAGTTGCAGCTATTATTCGCTCAGCTCTAATTCAGGAAGAAAGCTAGCATGGTCATTAATAAGAACCAATGATGCTCAGTTAACAAGTATAATAACGGTTTGGAGAAAATATCTCAATATAGAAGTGATCTGTTGCATCAAGAATTAAAACATATGATCCAAGTATGAGAGAAAAAAGCCTTGTCCTTATCAAATATTCCTTGCACACTGGATAAAATTATACTCCCCCCCCACCACTGTATAAGAATCTAAGTTTTTCAATTTCAATGAAGTCTGAAACAGGGCTCAGCACATTTAACACTACAAGTGAGCAGAGAAACATCTGCCAAGTTTGAAGCCCAAATCACCATCCTCTGAGTGTGAAAGGACATTTAGTTGACAATTTGGGTTGAGTTCTTACTAGTTTAGTTGCTCAGACTGAACATAGTTGAATGGAAGAACTTTCTCTAAGCAAATAATTAAACAAACACAGTATTTACGATGCATGCTCTAAGCCTGGAGGCGAATTAGTACCTTGTTTCCACCTTCCACAGACAAAACAACTCAGAAAATACAAAAGGAAAATGSTAGCTTATCTGTACTACCTCTAGCTTGACCAACTTTGACACAAAAAGCAGCTGAATTAAAATCTTCCAAATGCCATATTTATTTTATTATTTAGAATTCACCCCTACTACTTCCTGTGTCAACACTCTAAATCAGAAAGAAAATATGGACRTTGACTTTAGCATCTTCACTCCTCTGTGATCCCAATAAACTTCCATCCATAAGTTAAAGACTTAAGTTAAAGACCAGGTCAGATCTGATCGTAGGACTGCTCAAGTGTGTGTTCTAGTGTGCGCTCAAGTTAAACTTGCACACCCAGTAATTTTAGTTCTTCTAGTCAAAAGAGAATGGGAATTATAGTTTTTAAGCGAGTAACTGTCAGTGAAATCAATATGAAAGCGGGAGAAGTGAAGCAGAGCAAGACGAACGGCACGAGGAAAGGGCTGCGGGCTGCAGGCGCACAGCAGCAAGGGCAGGGCTGGGCCCCAGGGGCCGCGCAGGCGGCGGCTCTACCTGTCGATGGGTTCCAGCATCCCCGGGCTGATGTGCTCGCACTGCGGCGTCTTCTGCGGCGGGAACAGGGACGACGACGGCGTCACCGGGTTGTCCGCAAGCGCAAAGTCCTCGTCGTCATCTTGGCTTCCCAGGAACAGCGGCAACTGTAGAACCACACRAGCACAGTCAGTAACTTGTGTTTTAGCAACAACCGCCTCAAGCAGCTTATTACAGCTCTGCCTCTGACCGCAGCAGTAGCGATCACTCCTTAGGGCTCTGGGGCTCTATCCCTCTTCCCCAGCTTGCCCTTTTCCAAGACGAGGAGCCCCAGACCTCACAAGGGAGCCACTCTGGTCCCTTGATGACCTTGGTTGCCTTTTCCTGACTCCACAGGGGCAAAGGGACCACAAGTGCACACGGTGCTCAGGAGGCAGACACTTGAGGGCCTCCTGTGGCAGCAGGAGGACACCTCTGTCTTGTTCTCCAGACTCTTCTTGTTRATGCCCAACTTTTGGGGGACTTTTTGGTGCTACTACATGTTCAGAAAATGACTTGGGATTAAAATYACAACCTTGGAGCTGACCCTTACTAATCAGGAAGATTTCAGCACTACCCAGTCAACTTCTGGCCCTTTCATGCTGCGAAGATACAGAAGAAGTRAAAAGATTCCAAGAGGGGAAGCAAAGCACACAATGAGACACACAGGATGCCAGACAGGCCAGGTAGCAAGTGCAGGGGTCTCACACCATGTGCCACAGGAGCCCAGCTGGTTTTGCACAGATCAACCAGGGCAAAAGGAATCTAAACCCAGGGGCTGGGACACAGTATTGGATGCTGCATCCCAGCAAGAAAGGAGCCTCCTGGAAGATCCCTCTGCAAAACCAGGGCATCTTGGACACTGATGCATCAATTCTTTTGTAGCCAAACTGTACGTAATGGTTATGGGGACTTTTTCTCGTCACCTTGGAGTTTATAAAAATGAATCAAGTTCCTGCGGTTTAATTAGTGCTGCATTTCTGGGTGCAGGCCAGAATAAGAAGTGGAGGCGGCTCCAGGCAAAAGGCTCTTCCAGCCACCAAACCAGGGCAGCAGGGAAAGGAACAACACGGAGGGCAGGAGCGAAAGSGCAGCCTCGCTCCCCAGGAAGCCTCCCGGCTCCCCCGCCAACAGCGGGGGGCAGCTGTGTTTAAATGGCCCCTCGTTGAAGCCCCCTCAGGTGGGAGAGTGACTGCAGAGCGGGGCCGGGCTGCGGCACGTCGGGAAGCGCCCCCGGCCGGGCTCCTGCACGCGACACGAGGGCTGCTCGGTGCCTGTGCCGAGCACAGCCAGCCGCCTCCTGCAGTGCCCGAGCTGCACTGAACCAGCAGCCGGGAGGGCCTGCACCTGCCTACAGCTCCCAGATTCACCTTCACTCTCCGGTTTTGAAAGGGTGTCGCGGTGAAGATATCGTCGTGGTTGTCCTTTGGCATATGCTCCAGGAAATCCCTCATCTGCTGCTTTCTCTTCAAGGTTCCCACTTTAGCAGTTACCATAACTGATTCTTTCTTCTCTACATTAATCAAAACATAGTAATTGTTCAAAGATATTAGTTTTTAGGATTTAAAAATTTGCATTTTAATTAAAACTAATTAAAATTTGATTAAAAATTAGTAAGAATTGAAAATTAATCGTAATCAACGCTAGAGAAACAAAATTCTATCCCATTGGAGGTTTCCTTTAGTATATTAGACTCTATATAAATTTGTGCCTTTCAGAAGAAAGTTTCTGCAATACATTTTAATTAAAAACTTATGCTAGAGCCTCACACCCTCTTTGCCAACACTGAACATCACCTGTTAGCATTGCAACAGAATTGTTCATGCATCTAGGTGGGTATCAAAGAAAACTGGGGGATTTCGCACCCGCATGGGGGCCAGCAGCGCAGCTGGGCAGAGCTCCGCTGCACAGCGTCCTGCCGCAGGGTTTGCGAACACGGGCACCCAGCCCCGCGAAGGCTCTGCCCTGCACACATCTTAGATCTACCTGAAGGGCAGAGAGGACTTTGGCTCCTGTGCTGCAAGTCCTGCAGCTCCTGTTACACGGGACGGAAAAGGGATTGCCCTAGTTTTCTCTGTCTTTAAAGACCAATAACTGGTAACCGAGGTCATCTCTTCTGCACAGAGCGCGCTATGATCCCGAGTTCTCGGTAAGATCAGTACCTTTCTCTCCTGCTTTTCCCGAAGCCGGCATCTTTGTTGTGCGCGCGCCGGAGCCCTTGGCCTGCTGCTGCTCCAGGTACTTGTGGTGACACTCCTCGGCCGAGCGCGAGCCCACGGCCATGGCCACCTCCAGCCAGAAGCCGCTCCTGTGCTTGGGAAACGCCGCCACGGCCCTGCCAAGGAACAGCCCCGTCGCCCTCACCGAGCGCCACGGCAGAGCCCCAGGCTGGTTAGCCCCGCGCCAACGGCCCAGGAGAGCGTTCCTGCTCCTTTGGTTTGTGAACACATTTTCCCTAGCATCTATCTTACCACCTCTGTCTTTTGCTCACCCTATTTTTGCCATAACGTTCATTTTTTCATGCTTTTTCAACTTTACTTATAGGAACATCTTTTACTTTCACACACACAAAAAATGCATGTAAAAGTGGATACAGAAGTACTGATCCATGGACTTATGGCTAGTTGTAGTGTTCCTCTTTACCGAAGGTAACTGCGGCTCACATAACAGCTCACAGAATAGCTACTGTCTCCTTCATTTCATTATTTTTCTAAATTTATGAACTTTTTTTTTTTTTAAAGAGGAAACTAAAACAAAGTAAGCCTTCAAAAATGCAAAAGAATTTGATTCACAATGTGAATCAAAATTCTGGAAAAATAAACAAAAAACCCCAAGTCTGAAAGACAGCTCAATTTAGATTCAAGTGCATTATCCTTGCTGATATCCAAAGGAAACAAGGAGGTGACTACTTGCCTGTATAGCTTCTGTAACTCCTTTTCAGTCCAATCATCAGTGGTCCTCGGGAAAAACTCAAGAGATTTCTGGACCTTTTCTCTCTGCGCTCCCCCTGACTTTGCCGCTGAAGCTTTGCCAGCACTGGCAACTGCACAGTTTGGTTTTTTGCCAGACACTTTCAATTTCTTTTCTTTCTCTCGAAATTGCTCCTCACTTGTTTCAAGCTCGCTTTCGGAGGCGAACACATAGACTGGAGGGTTGGTTCTGCTCCTGGTCCTCATGGTCCTGCCASAGGTGCTGGAGCCCGTGGAGGGCGTCTTGGCGGCGGGCGCGGGGTCCTCGCTGCGCCGCRGGACACGTGGCCGCGCGCTGCGCGACGCCGTCCCTGTCCCCGGCGCGCTCGGCACCTTGCTCGCRTCCTCCTGGGACCTTCCTGCGCCGCACGGCGATCGCAAGCATGGAGTCTCTTGGGGCAAGAGGGGCTTAGCTGCCCTCTTCACAGACAGAGGGACATCTTCACTGGATTCTTCCTCCTCGCTTGACAGTTCTTTCACTGAATTCTTCTCTTGAAGTCGTTTGACTGACCGTAAAGAGTACACGCAGGACTGCTGGTACGTGGCCAGTTCCACAGGTTCTCTCCCTTTCTCTTCCTTCCTTGTTCCTGCAGTTTGGCTGTTGTGTTTTCGGTAGTTTTGTCCTGCAGTTGTTAAGGGAGTCAACTTAACGGAAGCCTTTGCTTTATTAGTAGCAGCTGCAACATCAGTGTCCTCGTCTGAAACACARTGCCTGCTCGCCTTGCTTCTAGTGGACTCGGGCTCTGTTTCGGAGCTTACTCTTTTTTCTGTGTTTTTCCCTGAAAGAGAGTACCTGGGTATTATCAAATACAGCAACCTCAGGCACTGCTGTGCTCTCTGGCACTCCAGTGCTGCTCAGCATTGCCTCAGTTGGGCACTGCCCCTTCCCCACAGCAGGGACGGGCAGCGGGGCTGACTTCATGTAGAGACTCAGCAGAGAGCTTTGTGTGCCACCTTCCTAGAAGTTTTATTTGCTGTACAGAGCCTTCCTGAAGGAAGCTGCACAGTTCTGTTTTACATGCTCTGCTTTACGCTCACCTCCCACATTAGACTTTTCAGTTCTAACTCATCCAGCTCGGACAATGAGGCTGCACAGAGCCAGACTGGTCAACTGGGCTGCTCTTCAGGTCTGCTTAAGGCACAGGTAAAACTTTGTTTAGAGATCCAAAGTGGAGAAATAGAAACAATGCACAAAGCTTTTGGTTAAAAGAAAAACACGCAGCAGCTCTCTGGGAAGAGAATCTGCTCATTCTTATTATGAGAATCAGGAAGGGATTTATGAACATAAATAATATTCTGTGCTGTAAAACTAAGCATCATCACTATTCTGGCAAATACTTACATAAAAGAGTCAACTGACCATTAATCTTTTTAACACAAACAGGACACCTCCATACTGCACCAACACCAAATGCATAATCRTAACCTGTCGGTAACATTCAAATTTAAGTTTTTTTTCTTTTACCTTTAGAGTGGCTTTTTGTTTTTTCTTCCCTTGTCTTCATTGATTCCTTTTTGTTTTTCTTCTGATGAAAGGAAGTGGTTTTGCTTTTGGGTCCTTCACTACTATACATCTTCAAAATAAAACAGTTAATCTAAACTCTTGCTAGAGATTACATAGCAAGCCTACCGACGCYAGCTCTGAAAAAGCCAAATATTTACAGGGTGGATAGATTTAAGAGTCACCTACATAGCCCTGTATCTACTATGTACTATTTGGTAAGCATTGATGCTTACTTAGACAGATGCATGCAACCAAAGCAGGTTAGCCAGACTCCCTTTCAGTGTATACAAAAAAGGGGATTAAAGWCTCAAGGTTTAGAGCTGCGAGTTGGTGATAACGCAGCCATAAGTCTTCACTAACACTGATGGGTTAGTCCACTCCCCAGTCCAAAAGGGCCAGCTAATCTTCAAGAAAAAGCAACAGCTCCATGCACAGCCACTACAAATAACGTTGCTTTCCTTCATTCAGCATCAAGAGTATTATCAGGCTTGCTTAAAATGTCACCRTAAATCAAGAGTGGCAAAAACCCTGGAGTGCTCGAGACGCATTAGAGCAGAGACGGGTTCCACAAGGGAGGAAATATTTGGTCCTAATGAGTGTGAAGTTGCATGCAGGAAGGTGAGGAGCGAGAATGACTCAGAAAGCTCCCCCAYAGCACGGACATCCCTTGTGTGGTTAAACACGACGGCGGGAACAGCATCGGAGCGTTACCCAGATTCTRCCTGGGCATCTCTGGGGCCCCCAGCCAGCCCCTATGCACAGCTTCTTGGCTGATATGCCCACTTTCCAAAGCCCTCATTTTTCTCCACAAGTAATTTCTTTCTAATCTCATCTTTCAGAGAAGAACTGATAATATAGAGATTAAAGCTCTTTTTTTTTTTTTTTTTTAAATCAACCTCTCAAGAAGCAAATTACTAATGTAAACCACTAGGTAACAAGACAAAGTAACCTTACCATACTCAAATAATCTACTCCACCCTTTTCTATAGTAACATTTAGGTTCTGATCAACAAATTCACGTTGTCCACACCAGAAACTTAACGGTGGTTTAACAAGACGACCGCTGCGAGTGTAAACTTGGTTCTGGTCATTTGATAGAGGATTGTGCTTTGGTGTTGTATCTAGAGGGAAAAAAGAAAAAAAAAAGAAAAAAAAAAGAGAGAAATACAGTTTTGCCCCAAATATTGTACTGATAGTCCATCTCTCTGCAGGCTTCACAAGCACGGGAACAACAGTGTGAATAAGTAAAGCTCATTTGCACTGTCTGCACAGAAACCTCAGCACAAMTTAATAATGTTTTAAAACTGTTCAGGTTAGAAATAAGCATAGCTTAATGACTGAATAATTTGGACAGCAATGAAGTTTATCCTTCATGAAGCTTCAATTTTCATGTGATTTAGAAGCCTATGAATAATCTAAAAATCATACAGGAAAACAAAATGATATGAAAAATTATCACATGAGCAAATCCTCAGGGAAATAAGAAAAGCAGCTTTTCTTAGTACTATCAAGAATATTAAATTACACTGTTAACAGATACTTTCAGGTCTGAACAGAGYCCTGTTGGAGCCCATGACAAGTTATTAAAAAGAAGTCAAAGCTAAAATCAAAAGCAATCTGCGTCCTTAAAGGAAAGGCAGGCTTGCCTTTGCAAGGCAAGGAAAAGCCCTGTTGATTGTTAGGTTGCAGCTTTACAACTACCTTTTGAAATAAAACTAGCTAAGGAGTTTCTCATAACCCCCAATGCTCACCATCACCTCCCATCCTCTACTGGGTCAGCAGAGCTGAGAAGCTGTAAAACCAGCCAGCTCAGGGACTAAGTCGGTGTTAAAACTGCATCTGCCAAACAGGGGCAGCCTGGGAGAGGTCTCCCCAGCACGCAGCCTTAGGTCAAGCTTGCTGTCAGAACAAGCACCTTGGAAGCCTCTGCTGCAGAAGGCAAAGCCAGATTCCTGCCTCTTTCCCAGGCTTATTCCCCAGAAGAGCCACAAAACCTTTTGCAGATACTGTATGTCAGCAAAGTAGAAAATAAATAAGCATCAAGTCTGCGCTCTTGATCACTGCAGCCTAAGCAAACAGCTTAACAAAAAAACAAAACTAAAACTATTGGTTTGTTACCTCTTCCATACAAGTCATTAACAAGAGAGGAACAAATCAGATGGCTTACATGACATATCTTTTGCTAAGAAAAGCAGCTGAAGAAAAAAAAAACACCAACTTTTAATTTTCAGAGTGAAGAAGTATGAATACCTACAAGTAGTTTTATCATTCTTCGGTAATACTTCATAAGTTGTATCTCTAGTTTGAGATTTCTTTCTAGGACCTGTGGAATCTTCTGCATTTTTCAGCGCATTTGTATCCATCAGGTCATTTTCAGTCTCTTCATTTTCATGCTCATTGTTAGTTTGCTTACATTCTTTCCTAATGATTTGGAGAGGAAAAAAAAGTAAAAATAAAAGTAAACTTCTCATTCATTAACATGTCAGTGCTCACAGACATTCGAAGCCTTGTCCTCATCCCAGCAAATCCACTGCATCCACAGACACAAAGCCTCAACGAGCAAAGCCAAAGTCCTTCTGCTTGCCCGAGACCCCATGAACAAGCCACTGGGATGAAGACTGTTCATAGAAGGGCATCCTTCCAAACTGCTGACCAGGATTTGGCTGGAATGAAGGTCTTGTACACGCACCTTGTACACCTTTATTCCCTTCTGTTWTTACATAAAGTGAAGTATCATTTAATTAATGCTAAAGAGAGCATCACAGTGAAACTAAGTCTTTAAAGAAATTACCGTTGTATTATCTCTAGTAAATCCTCCACATATTCCTTCCACTTCTTGGAAAAACCATACATAAACCTTTTGATGAAGCGATATGGGAATCCTGTTTGAAGTAAAAAGAGCAGCATTAAACARCTAGGCAATACTTTTACTCAGAAAGAGAAGAAATAAGAAAGTACAACCATAATTTTGTTGATACCTCAAACTCAATACATTTTTAAAAACAAAAGGGAAAGGTATCTCCAGTTTAAGAGAACAGCTTACTTAACAGAAAAGCAACAAAATAAAAGCACCACCACCAAAAAACACCACTTCTGTGTTTGGAGACAGCACTCTAGTTCCCCGGGACCCCAGCGCCTGGCTTTCTGCAGTGCATTTGGCCAACTGCTGCCTGGCTTCTGCACACAACAACRTGAAGGCTGTGGAGCACTAGAAGATACATGAGAGCCTGAGGTTCTAGGGTGTAGGTTATGTCTGAGCTGTGCAGAATTCTTCGCATGAAGAAAACCCCACTGGCTAGAAAATACTACGTTGCTTCAATTCAGCAGCTACTCAATCCAGAAGGCACAGACTGTTCACCAGTGTCAGACTAGCACCTGCTTCTGACAACACCACTCTAAGGATGGAAGTTCAAGCAGTAAGCAGAACCACTAATTCTGTCCCCCAAACTACAAAACCAGCCCAGAAAACCTTTGTGCAAAGGAACACCAGAATATCCTGTTGCAACCAAGAAAGAAGAAAAGCAGCACTTGAGTGCCAGCCCTTCTGCACCAGTTATGTGGTATTTAAGACTCCCGTTRACACTGGGGTGTCACGTAGCATTGCTGGCGAGGAGGGAAGCGTGTCAATAGTGTGTGACCACAGCACTGCTTGGGGAATCACGGCTTGCCCTGGGCACTTAACTAACGACCCCCACGAGAGGGGTCTGCAGCACATTTAGATGAGGAAGAAGTGTGTTCCTTTCATATTCGTTCCCACTCCCCAAATTTGTTTTGACTGCTACTAAGCATTGAGCTGATACTTCAAGGGAAACATCCATCGATCCCCCCCAAACCTCATTCCTCAGGTTTTACATAGGAGATGGTGAGATTCTCAGTTCTCTGTTAAAACAGGCTTCTCCCCTCACATAGCACTTTACATTTATTTAGGCTGTTCTCAGTTTGCAGTGGCAAAGTGCCTTACCTTCTTTTCTCATTGAAGCAGAATCTATCTTTCCTTGTAGTAAGTAGATATTGCCAGATAATGTTCTGACTTGGTTGTGTGCTATACGTTCTACAATTGCATTACTATGCCAGGGCAGATCTTTCATATCTCTAATAAAGAGGGATAACATGAAAAGAAAGAAATAAAACACTTTTCATAAAAGAAAGAATTTACAATATTGGAATTCCATATTGGACCAGCAGTGTTAACACAGTTCGAGTGATATAGGCAAGGAAATGAAGCGTAAGGTCTAAAAAACACTGTAGGAATACCTCAGTGAAGCCAAAGAAATCGCCCCMTTTCCTAGAATGGGTCTTAAAGGAGTAGAATTGAAAACAGAAAACAGTAGAGTTGTTAAAAGTAATAACAGACTTCTCTGTGAGAAGGAAAAGGGACCCAAATATTAAAATACAGAATATAATTTTTCTAAATACACTTTTACAGCAGCTTAAGCTACAGAATGGTATTGAAGACTGAAGTTTCACAAAATGTTAACCCAACTCCATTCAGAGAGTCTAGAAAGCRGTTCAGGCACGCTCCGTATTAGCAAAACCAGATATGCAGCAGCAAAACAAAGGCATTTTGCTAGCAGTAAAAAGAGGGTAACAGTTTTTTTTTAAATTGCCAGGTACAGGATAGATGTCTCCTGAAGCCTCTCCGTAAGAGTACAGAATTACTTCCTTTAAAGTACTACGGCTCCTGTTAAGTGAGGTTCTGGGTTACCTTTTAAGCAGATAAGAACCATCTGTAGCAGCRGAAAAAGAGCAGAATATGCTTCTCCTAGGCTATGTTTTCACAGGATCTTCAAGCAACTCTCATGCAAGCTGTTGCCAGAAGGGAAAGGCCCAGGCCCATGCAGAGCTACCATGTTCCCATCCTCTCCTTTGCTTTGACACTGGTATTCAAATAGCTATAGGATTAGGAAAACAGCCTGATGAAGAGCATAACCAAAACGAAATTCTGCTCCGCTGGATCAGCTGCTGCCGGGGCTCACCAGGGAGGTCCTACTGCCACCACAAGCAGCGGGGCAGGAGCACAGCCGGCAGGAGCTGTGCTGTCCACCTGCAGATGGATCCATCAGTTTAAAGGGAAATAAAGCCCGAGAGTTGCCAGTGCTGGCCCCCCAGCTGGGAGGTGGATGAAGGCCCTGGCACCAGGGAGCAGCACGACTGCGACAGCCCTGGCTTAGGTAGCCCCACGGCCTGCTGGAATGGCTCCCAGCAGCTACCAAGATAGGTCAGGAAACGCAACTCTCAGAACCACAGATACTCAATGAGATGGACATGCTAAGCTGTTCAGAATCTGAGCTATAAAGAGCTATATACCTAAAAGCTATGCACTTAAGTGTCAAAAAAAACAAAACTAAACCACACACACCACGAAACCCCCAAACCAAACACCCCACACACGACACTTACGTTCGTTTTCCTTCAACACATATGGCAGTGTTATCACTGATCACTTTAATTCTCCAGCTGGTTAGGCAGACTTTTTTCTGTGATAAAATAAAAGACATATCATCTTTCAAGAATTAGCTTAAGGTACGACCAGTATCATCAWCAAAGAAGTCAGAAGTGCCTGTCTTTTGAAAGTGTTTTCATACAAAACTTTCCAAGTCAGAGAAATTAAAAGTGACTACTAAATATTTATGGAGCAACATAATCAAGCTAGAAGCTAATGGACCAGTGAAGTCATAACTTATAAAAATGCTTTTAATAATATAATGTCGACTTCTAGCAAGTCRAAACCAACAACAGAAAAACAAAACCTGACCCCCCCAACAGCTGTGAGCTATGAGCATYCCACAGGAAGCTCTGGGATATCCAAACCACCTAGAGAATGAAGTTCTCCCACCTCTTTACTTCCATTGCCAGATGCTTTATCCCTATGAGATTTATCCGAGGAGGCCTTAAAGTCTTGTTTGGGTTTCTCCTTCCTTGGTATGTAGACTTTGGGAGAAGAGAGCATGATGCTACATAGGCACTGCGAGGGTTTCTGGCCATTAGCCTCTAGGGTCTTTCCTGCTGCAGGAGCAGCTTGCCGATTGCTTGGCCGCAACTGTCTTCTTTCTTGAGGGAAGTTATTATGTTTTGTTTCTCCACGTCCATACCTTTCTTCTAGCTGATCCCCACTTTCAGAAGGGGGGGAATTTCCATTCACAGTATTAGCCACTGTATTATGAGACAATTCATCATCAGCATCAAGTGATTCCATGAGAAAGTTATCCTGATTGTCCTTATCAGTGRCCACATAGTCTGTATTAGCTTTGTGGAGCTGCTCAGTAAGAGCAGGTTTGACTGATGGCTTTTCTGCAGCTGTGGAAGGAGGAGCATTTTCCTTGACTGCGTTTAAAAATACTGGATCTGCACATAAAGAGAGAATTGCTTTGTCTGCCACAGTACACAAGCAAAGGCAGAAGCCCCAGTCCCAAGGAAGCTTAAGAGCAGTGTCACCCACCTTTCTGCTGCTGCAGTTTCCGTTTCACACGCAGGAAGAACTTCTGAGGAGATTCCAGTACAAGAGGGTCTACAGCTAACAAATTCATGGGTCTGTTCTGAGGRATCTGGGTACAAGGCAACTCTGGGGAAAAAGAAGAGAAGAAAAAAATCCTTTGGATTTGGGAAGAACATGTTCATGCAGGGGAAGAAAAAAGCTAAATACACACTTCATAAGATACTAGACTGCATTATGCAACAATTTGCTCCCATACATTTTCCTTAGCACTAGGGCTTTCTCTCTCACTGCAAACCCGAGGCTGCTTTGCTGCACGTAAAAAGTGCCCCATGAATCACACAGATATACACATGGCAGGGCTGTAATCCAAGCAGGGGGCCTAGGGGAATACACAACAGGGATACAGACCAAGACCTAGGGAGAGAGACCAATGCCAGACCAACACCAAGACTTCGGCAGAACTAAAGGTTCAGTTGAAGAGTCATTATCAGTTTGAGGTACAGTGTGGCAAGYGGAAGGGTGCTGCTTGGAAAGCCTGGGTTAAAAAGTATATGGGAGTTTGAGTTTTCACTTATTTTCTGTCATAACAGCCTGATCTCATTTATAATCATATTTAATAGGGATTGCAAGAGTAATGAGGGACTTGAATTGCAACAAGGCGACTTCGGGGAACTTTTTGATGCTCAACCACAGCGCCAGGGCAGCAGTTTTCACACTAGCTCATGCTCTTGAGGGCAGGCCGGGTACCCCGTGGGGCTCCCCTGCTGCTGCCCTGACAAAACCCACCGGGCGCTCGGGTTCTGCTCCCTGCTCGGGTTCTGCTCCCGCAGGGACCCGTTAAAGGGACCCCGACAAAGCAGCCAGGTCTCTAATCCTGCCCAACCGGATAAAGGTTTTGTGGAGGGGCGGCCAAGGTCCGCCCACACCCAGGAGTCAGGATTGGAAAATGCTTTGGAAAAAGAAATATTAAAAAAATAAARTGATAGACTACTAAAGAAACCACTACAGCAGGAAAACGCCTCAAAAAGCGGTTGGCCAGGAGGGCTTTGGCGAGGAGACCCCCCTCCTGCCGCCCCTGCCCTTCCCCGGCCGGCGGCGGGACGGTCCCGTTGCGCCTTCCTCGGGTTTARCAGCGGCCACCGAGGGCCCCCCAGGGCGGGCAGTGACCGGCAGGCAGCGAGGAGAGGCGCACGGGAGACGCCTCCCAAGTAAAGCAAGCGGGAAAAGCGGGAAGGGAAGGGAAGCGGCGCGGAGGTGCGTGCGCCCCGCGAGCGGCCGCCCCAGGGTGCTCCCCCCGCGGCGGGCGGTGACCGTCCCGCGCTGCCCCGCGCCCCGCCGGGCA